GGTCAAAGCTACTGAGCAGATATAGAAATAGAGAGAAGCAGGGTCCTGGGGGAAGAATCTGGGTAGGGAAGAAGGTGGTCTTTGATGCTATATGGGATGTTGCAAAGAGAAGAACACTGCTAAGATTAGTAATTGAATCTTCCCTCTCTCTCTCTCTCTCTCTCTCTCTCTGTGTGTTTGATCAACGAGTTTAATCAAGTCTTTTGAGGGCCAAGAATTGATTCTTTGCCATTTGAGCCTAATTCCTTCTAAGATGTCTCTAGTTCAGCAAAAAGTTGAATAAATGAAGAATAGAAAATAAAGTCATTAATTTGACTTCGCAAACTTCAAATAAACATCCTTCCTGGGAATTTCTTTTTAAAGCTGTTATTTGTACCAAACTTTACAAGACGTAATACACAAATGCTTATCTGGCTAATTTGCTATGATGAACTACTTACTATCAAAGATTAGTGAGTTGAAGACAATAATGCCCAAAAGGAGCAATATCCTTGTTCCTTACTAATCTCAACATGTACAATAGCAAAAAAGACAAGTTAGAAGGCAACATGATCAAGTTCATCATATCCAAGTACCATATGCATTTGGAAAACTAAAGTTTTCACCAATTATATCTATTGAAAACCAAATGCCTACGCAATGAAAAGATGAAAACCAGACCTAACGTCTGAACGATGTCGATGTGCAACTGAAAATCAAACACCGAGGAATCTTACCTTCTTCCACTGGCTAAAACCAGACTCTCCACATAAGTACAAAGTTCTAATGTGTATTCAGTTCTATCAACGGGAAGACTCTTAGCATTTCCACTCCTCGGGTTATATGACCACATACTAGTAACATCTCCTTTTTATCTGCTTCATAATCACTTCAATGTCTTCCTAAGACGAAAAACTGACCAGAACTACAAACATAGAAATGTTATCAGTAGAGTATATCTTCACCCAATTCCACCTATCACTCATAGATTCCTGCATTACCCAGAACTCAAACTGAGCAGCACAATTTTTATAACCAAATTAGTGAGCAAAAGCCAATGATTCCTTACGAGAAATAATCTTCACATTCCTAGCCCTGCAAATTGCTGGCAGTGGTATCCTCCTTACCACCTTTTTATTTACATCAAATGATATGATGATCTTCCGATTGGACGTTTCTTATAATCTAGTTGCTACCCAATTTCAAAAACCCTTCACATCCACACCATTTTTTGCTCCACAGATTATGCATAACTCAACCTCAAAGCCCTCAATTTCCTTCTAGAAACCAGTGCTCCAAGTAAAAGCCTCAGCCTTTAGTAGTGGGGTTGATCTTCAAGATGCTTTCTGTTATCAAAGTAAACAATTCTCAAAATTTTGTAAATATTTTCAATCAACAAAACAGAAAAAATAAAATGAACTAACTTATAAACTCCAGTAAAGTTAAAAGCCTATAGAGCAATTCTCCTTTTATCATCTTCCAACTCAAGCCAAATCTTCTATGTCTGTCACCATCTATACTCATTTGTGACCTGTCCACAGCCAACAAGGCGTTTCCACCATAGCATCACCACCACCTCAGCCTACCTGCAACAGCGCTGGCCTCTTGTGCACTCTCCAACCGCACCTCTTTGCCATGCACACAAACATCCCTACTTAACCTTTGACATTGCAACCCCCAACGTTGAAAACCACCAACTTAGCCCAAGATGGGTAGGCCCACATTCCTTCGAAAAATACCCTCCATAGATACCATCAAACAAACATAGCACAGCAAAAGAACTGATAAGACGAGGAGAGAACTCCTAGACTGGACAACTTGCGTTCCGAGTCTAAGTAGCTCGTTGACAACATATACTCTCCTCACAACTATTGGATTTTTAATTGAAGATACAACTATTAGATTTTTTTTATTAATAGAGGATACCAACTTTTATTGTTCCTATTTAAGATTATTAACTCTTGCTTTTTCTATATTATAATAAAATGGGTGATAAATGTGCACATAGATCAATTCTCTATTAGGTTGTTAGCATTTGTTGTCTACCCAAAGATGATGTGGACAACCTTGTGCATAAATAGCTGATATGTGTTGGTAGAAAAGTCTAACCCCATGTGAACACATGGACTTTGCATGTGGAAGTTTGCTTCACCGGCCTATAAGCCAATTGTGGGCTAGAATTGCTTTGTGAAATCATTCAAGATTGCATGTTGACCGATTTAATGAGAAAAGAAAATCTTGGACAAGCGGCAATGAAGCAAAGAAAAATGGGGCATGGGTGGTTGAATTTTTCACTATAAATACCCATGCATGCAAAGGAAACAAGAAAGCAAGAGTGAGAGCAAGCAAGAGAAGAGCTAAGTGAGTGGGTGCTCTTGTGAGAAAAAAGAAAGAGAGAAATTGTGAGAAAATCCTTGTCTAAATTAAGAGAGAGTATCATGGAGAATTTAAGAGCTTCTATACATTGAAGTTAGGGTGTTGAGAGCTTCTTGAGTGAGAGGGCTTCTAAATTATTGTACTCTTTTTTCTTAATAGTAGATTTATTTATTTCTTTCCCGTGGACGTAAAGTTGTTGAGAGGTGTATAAGTCGAATCATGTTAAATTGTTGTCTCAATTTCTTTATTGCTTCCATTTGTATGGGATTGTGATGCTCAAAATTTCCAACAAGAGGTATCAAAGCTATTGGTAGAGCTCATGGTGTTATGGTGAAATGTAAACTAAAGCCATGAAGTATTCAATTGAGCTGTTCAATAGCAAGAATGACTTTACTTTATGGTAAAGCACTGTCAAGGATGTCCTTACTTGTCAAGGACTTGATGCAACTTTAGAAGAGACCAAGCCAGTTGAGATGAAAGATAGTGATTGGACTACTATCCAAGATAAGGCAGCAAGTCAAATTCGACTAGCGCTTGCATTGAAGGTGAAGTACAACGTCCTTTCAGAGACTACTCCAATAGGCATGTGGAAGAACCATGAAAAAATATATACTTCAAAATCTTTAACCAATCGATTGTGTTTAAAGATGGAGCTATATCAATAGAAGATGGCAGAAAGCAGTGTTTTGAAAACCAAACTGGATTGGTCGGTTGAACCAATCGAACCATCACCTGATTGCTGAAATAGGCTGGGTGGATGTCCAAGCCCGTTTGGACAATCAAACCGTCCAAATTGGAAAAACTACCTGACTTGTTTCGCCCGGTAAACCCGGGAGGCGGCTTGCCCCATGCTGCAACCTCCCTTTTTTTTTCTTCCATGGTAAATTCAAACTTCAAAGCTTAAACTTGTTGCCTCCAAGGTTCGAACACATCACTTCAAATAGCTTTTCAATAACTTTTGCCACTAGAGCTTTACCATTAAAATTGACATCTTTTACTTAAAATTTTATTTCTTTTAGTTCAAGAAGAAAATAATTGAAATAACCATTTAGGAAATCCGACTACCTTTAACTTTATTGAGTTATTATGTAAAGAGAAATATTATCTACTTTCATATTGAAATTAATATAAAATTTATGTAAATATATAAAGTGTAATGAATGCAATTTTTATAATAATTTATATAAAAAATTATAAAAATTAATA